GTTATGTAAGTCTTGTGAGTCAGGTCAGTCTTGTGAGTCAAGTCAGCCTTATGAGTCAAGTCAGTCTTGTGAGTCAAGTTAGCCTTATGAGTCAAGTCAGCCTTGTGAGTCAAGTCTTGTTGTGTGAGTCTTGATGTCATGATAGTTATCATGTAAGTTTTGTTTTGAGTCATGTTGTCATTTGAGTCCTGGTGTAAAGTGAGCAATCTCAAGCCTTGGTGTCTTTTGATGCAACGCCTTCAAAACAAAGCTAACTCATCGGGAGATGAGTTCTCAAGAAGGGGAGTCTGATGTAGGCAAAGGGGGGGTCAAATCAAACTCAAAATTTAATGACCCTTGGACTTCTAGTGGTTCTTGGTTTGGGCTTATTGGTTGCTTTGGTGTTGAGCTATTTTAAGTGTTAGCTCATTATTTTGAGCTCTTGGTTAGCTCATTATGAGCTGAAGTTTAGTTCATTTATTCAAGTTTAGTGGCAGCTCATTATTGTTAAAAGTTTGGCTCTTTCCTTTCCCCATGCTGCCTTCTCGACTTCCCCATAGCCTCCTCAGCTCCTTCTGGTGTTGACCCTTTAGTTTGCCCCTGATTTATTGTCCCGTGGTCCCCCTTTTATCGAAATTGATTATGGATCTTGGTTCCCTGTCTGGGCTGTTTTCCCGTAGCAATTAGGGGAGCTTTTCCCGTGGAATTAATGTCGTGTTTCCTGTGCAATGTTGGGCTGCTGTTTGAAGGTTTTTGGGATGCTGTTTGAAGGACTTTTGGGTTGCTGTTTGGTGGCTTTTGGGCTGCTGTTTGGTGGCTTTTGGGCTGCTATTTTGGAGTAACTTTTGGCCTTCTATCTTCCCATTTTAATTAGCTTTTAATTAAGTTTTAGTGGCTGTTTGTATTCCTTCTTTTGTGCTTATATATAGAAGATGTTGTGGCTATTTTAAGAGAGTTGTGATGATGATGATTTTTGGAAGATAGAACCTGCGAGTTTTCTTCGTGGAAAAGCTTGCGAGCTCGTTCCATTCTCCTTCTCCTCTAGGAAAGCTTGCGAGCTTCTCCTCCTTCGTCTTGGCTTCTAACCTCTTTCGTCTCTCCGCAAGTATCCACTTCACCTGTATCCTTCTTCTAATGGAATGAAGCATCATTAGGATTTGTTTTATGGTTCAAGTTGTGTCATGTTATCAAGTCGTCTTCATATTGTCAAAGTCTGTAAGCATCTGTAAGTCCTTTTATAATATTAAAATTGTGTTTTGTTTTGTGCATGTGTTGTCACTTTATCTTATGTTATTTTTGAAGTGTTTTGAGTAACTTTTAAGTTATAGAAAGGGGTTTCTTTTTGTGATCAAAAATTTGGGGCCCTCTCCCAAATTTTTGATTGCATCATGTGAAGGGCATTTAGCAAATGAAACAACTGCTTTACAACACTCCTACAATCAACCATTGTTCAATAGTCAATAAATACATTGATCTTCTGCAAGTCGATGGTGGATGATATAGAGCAAATGCAAATGTTTATGGGCTCTTATAGGAAACATGTTATATGTGCAAAATATCATCTACAAACAAAATGAGAAGTGATATAGCGAATGTAAGTGCCTACGGGCCATTATGACCGTGCACTCAATATATCATCTACGGGCAAATACAGAATAGCTACGACAAATACGAGCCTCTACGAGCTGTCGTAGAAGACCTGACAAATATTACAAAAATACCCCTGTACATGCACTGTAATTTGTATACACATAAGTACAAAAAAGGGTTAAATGTAATTACACAACTCACATGGGCGTCGGTGAGCGTGTCATATGAACACACGTGACTTCTAGGGATGCTGCATGGGTCAATAAATTTGAACCCGAGTCATACAGTGAATGTTATGATGTCATTACAAGCGATATCTATATCTATCATGCAATTAAATGCTACTAGAAGGATTTGGCATGCAATGTATGATGAATGCAGTAGCTACTTATGAATATTGAAAGGAAGCATACAATGAGCGTAGTAGATTGATGATGAGTGAATGTGGGAATTAGCAATGATTGTAGTCAACCCGATAGTCAACAAAAATATACAAATAAACACATCGATCTTTTATGGACTATTGAAGTTCATGTTCCACAAGTTCAATGAGTCACTAACAAAGATGAATGAGGGAGTTCTAGTGAACATAACTCACCTATGAATCAGTCATGCAAGTAGATGCTTCTGTCCCATTTAAATATAAGAATTGGACATGCGACGAATACAGTAACCTTCTTGCAAACAGAGACCAAATTGAATGAATAACAACATACTTACAATCAATCAATAATATAAAGTTCCCAAGGAATTTTGAAGATCTTCAAGCCTATCAGAATGCAAATATTAGTAAGTAATGTCGCTATATGCATATTGCAAATCACCTCCAAGGATAACAAAAAAGACATGCAAAACACAAGCATCATGCGATAAATGATACAGTATATTCGTGAGCAAGGTGTGAAGGGCATTTAGCAGATGAAACAGTTGCTTTACAACACTCCTACGATCAACCACTGCTCAATAGTTAATAAATACATTGATCTTCTACAACTTGAGGGCGGATGATATATAGCAAATGCAAATGTTTACGGGCTCTTATAGGAAACATGTTATATGTGCAAAATATCATCTACAAACAAAATGAAAAGTGATATAGCGAATGTAAGTGCCTAAGGGCAGCTATGAAAGACCTGTCGTGCACTTAATATATCATCTACGGGCAAATACAAAACGGCTATAACAAATACAAGCCTCTATGAGCTGTCGTAGAAGATCCGTCAAATATTACAAAAATGCCCCAGTACATGCACCATAATTTACATACACATGTACAAAAAAGGGGTAAATGTAATTACACAACCCGCATGGGCTCTGGCGAGCGTGTCGTAGGAACACACGTAACGTATAGGATGCTGAACAGATCAATAAATTTGAACCTTATCCTCATAAGCGTGTAAATAAGAGTCGACAAGGTTCAATAAATAATTATAAAATACCCCCAAACACCCGCATGGGCCCCGGCAAGTTGTTATGAGTACACACGTGACGTCTAGGGATGTTGCACGGGTCAATAAATGAACCACAATTCGAGCCCGATCCTTCTATATGGATAGATAGGAGTCGACACAGCTCAAATTATCAAACAAATATACAGTCAAGGTGTTGACCAAAATATATGTTTTATACATTCATATAAGACATCCAAGGCCTATGAACAGAGAAATTCATCAACAAAGGCATAAAGCCTACGAAACACGATCCTCTATCAACAGCTCGACAAAGTCGACAAGGTTCAATCAACAAATGAAAATGATCCCAATCACCTCGATGATGGTCGTGTTGAACGTAGATCTCAACCGAAGGGGTCCTCAAATATTTCAAATGTCATCCAAACTCCTAGAAAATTTCAAAGCCTAGAATATTTAAAATTGAAATAATCTATCTAATCGTTTAAAGCAAAATCCATCCACCCTCTACAACAGTTTGTTGGGGTGGACAAATTAAAATTTATTTCAACTCACATCGAGCTAATGCCAAGTCAAAAATATCACTAGGATACATTCTCAAATAATCTCCTGCCAGTAAGGATGTAGTACGTGTCCTCTAACTGACAGTTTTGCCGCCAAATGGCACCGCAGGATAAATGATTATGACCCGGGATCCTCTGAACCGAGTGATTTTACCGTCATATGACACCACTAAATTACAGTTATGACCAGAGTCAATACGTCCCTTAGTGACATCAAATCCTTGAGATATTAATCAATAAGATATAATTGATAGGGCATAAAATCCTCTATTAGCTAAGGTGGATTCAAATTTGTCCCTTTAAGCAAATACCCACCCCAGGTCTACAAGGTACCCTTCGACGAAGCAACCCAGGACGACGGAACCATGTGATCTTGATCGGGTCCATTATCCATTCCCCCATAATCCACTTTAAATGCAAGATGGTGAAAATTCCAATTTAAATATCCAACTTCCAACATTCTAAATACCCATGATGCTACTATATGCCAGATAACACGTATTTCTACGTATCTGATTAATGACTAGCCTTAATCGAAAGTTCTCTCTTGTGATCGGGAGAGATAATTAACTATAGGGGCTTGCGCCTATAGGAAACCAGAACTCATATCATAAAGTCCTCGCAAAATGAGGGTGAAAACTCCGGGAAGTGTCTTATCTACAAACCCATCTGCCTTCCCAAAATTTACCTTGGAACTTAATCCATTAAAACTCCCCTAAAAAAGCAACGGGGGAGGCCAGGGTCGAATTTTCGGAGCACACAATAGGTAAGGTGCATTAGTAATATTAGTATAAATATTTTTTCATGTTCACCGGTGATGATCTCCAGGAGTCGTCATGGGTTATGACAAAATCATATTTCAAATCTCTTGTTATTGCAAAATTTACCATTGAAATTTCTTGACTTGTACTGTAAAATCTATTTACTTAGCCTTAACTCTCAATACATGGCTTTGTGGGTTGATGTTAAGTATCTTTACATCTCATGTTGTAGACTTTCTTCTCTAGACACATGGTGGCATACGATGTCATTGAAATCAATGTATTCAAAGGATACCTCAAAATAGAATCACTATTCATGGTCTAGTTATTTATTTTTTTTGCATCATATTCTAAAAGAACTCGTTTTTTTTTTTTAAAGCAGTAGGCGCATGAAATCAATAATTTACTTTTAAAACCACATTAGGTTCGATCATTAGAGAGTTAACTACAGATCACTAAGAAACAGTTGATTTGAAGAAAAAGTATGGCTGATGATTATCAAGCAAAAATTACTGCTAATGCATGAAATATTGGCTACCATAAACAGTTGGGATGTCTAATGATAATGAACATCATTTGTACTTATAGGGAAAAAAGATTAAATGAACTTATGCTCCATAAGAACTTAGCTAGCATTTACTACATTAAGGGGATCTAGAACATCATTTTAACTTAGATAAAAGGATCTATGTAGGTACCTGTATAAGGAAGGCCATGTCGACTACCAAAGTAGAAATCACACCAAAGACTAGTCCCAGAACTCCATTAGCTACAGTAGAAGAACCAATGTCTATATCAATCTGCAAGAATCAACCCTGTTAGAAATCTCATTATCCAACTTATGCTATGATGACATTTCAGTTATCAAAGAAATCCAAGAAACCATTTTGTGTTATATATAACCTATTTCTTTTTTTCTTACTTCCAAGTATTTTGGTCCATGAATATAGGTACAATCAACTGCTTTTCCTAGTAAGCATCGGGTGCTTCCTACAATTAGACGAACTTTCCAAGAACCCTGAAAAAAAAAAGAAGCTGGATACATGTCAACAAGGCCTGGCACGAAACATAGAATCAGCGCAATTAATAGAAGAAAATACAAAATATAACCTTAGGAACAGAGAGGATTAGCTTGAATCTACTGTTTCGGAATTCATCATCACCATCAACAAAACGTTGCAGCAATGACCCAGAAACCAGTGGTTTTGACACAAAATAAAAGACCATACTGTAATGGGTTGAACCTGGAACCTGCAAAATAAGAGGTTATTCTATTATGATAAACAAAGGACCTACGTAAACAACTACAACTAGAGGGGGCAAAAAATTTAATTTTAGAATAGCAGCAAGAATTTTGGGAAGCTGCAGCTTGAATGAAACATAGCAATAACTAAAAAGGAAGATCTCTGTTGAAGGTTAAAATACGAGGAAAAATCCCTATTTCCAAAATGGAGCTCTCACCAAATTATGAAGATATTTTTTATAGAGTAAACGCTTCGCCAAATTTTCAGAGAAAGCATTCATAAAAAGGTAGAAGGATTGGTAGATTTGAAATTTTAAAAGTAAAAATAGTTAAAAAAAAAACAAGAATATCTCAATGTTGAAATTCAAGCACCAAATTTGGTACTCTGCGAGTAAAGAAACAATAAAAACAGTATCCACTTATTTTTCCTTAAACATAGAGAAATAAAGAGGTTGTTCAAAATTTTATGTTGAACGGATTGCATTTCTGAGTCTAAATTGGGCAAGGGTATCTTCTTTCGGACTACCCAAGCTAGAAAGCTCAAGTATTCATAAACCTAATTAACTCAACCAAGCCTAATAAAAAAAGATTCAGGCTCAAAACAATAGTTTGATTTTTAGGCCGGTCAAAACTTGGTAAATTTAAAATTGTTAAAAGCATTTGGTAATGTTTAATGAATGGATGAAGAGAAGAGTAACATTGTTAGACACGGCAAAAAAATGTGAAGTGACCAAACCAAACCATTAGATTCCCATGTAGGAACGCATAAAGAGAAGAGAAAGAAAATACTCACTTGAACATTTACGACCAAAGTGAACAGTCCCTTCTCAGAGGCAGCCTGTATCAGCAATAAAAGGAAAGAAATTTTCACAAGGTGTAAAAGCAAATGTCACCTTTCCAAAAATAGTTGCATTGCAAGCTGAAGCATTTCTCCATTTATAACGATGAAAAAGAGAGACAGAGGGAGAAAGACATTTAAACACTGAATAAACATATACTCTTATAAACTTGAGGTAAGGATACGTACACCAAACTTGCATAATTATATTAAAAAGATTTGAGAGAAATCCCATAAGAAAGCCTTCTGCCTCAGCAGATTCTTCAAGGTTTGATTCTACACAAGTATGAATTTTTGCATACTTTCCTGACTTCGTAGCTTTGAGAACTTGTTTTCTTTAAAGTAGAATTGTATGCTGCAAGCAATCATATAACAACAGGAAATCCAATAAGCATTCCATTACTTGGTCTCCATCATCTGGAGCACACTGCAGTTAAGGTCCGCTGCAGTTTGAATCAAATAACACCATTGGAGGGCTAAATTTTTTATCATTGGGCATTCCATGAAATGCTAAAGAGTTGATAGTTCAAGGCAAAACAACTTTAGCACTGCTGACCTAAATCTCTAGTAATTGGGGAATTAAAATTTCAAGTTCAGCTGTACGTGTATGTAGTTTATGGCTAAAGTTGGGCCTAAGGTTTATGATTTACAGTTAAAATCTGTTGGACTTGGGCCTCGTAACCTTGCCTGATAAAAAATTAACTGTTTTGCAATCAGTCCATAGAGATCAACACTGCCTCTAACAGACAAGCCCAAATAAGGGTAGGTTGTGGCAGATTTCAGGTAGCCATCTCAAAACTCAACTTCCTTATAGGATGAATATTGCAAAGTCTGCACTCTGAAATTGTTAAAATTATTTACCAAAAGTACAGTTAATGAACCTTGCCACAATATGGAAGGCATAGATGACACGCCAATGGCAAATTGTTTAGTAGTTGCCAAAAAATATTCAAATAACCTGAAACTAAGACCAACACTAAAATACAACTAGTGCTGATGATGGAAAACACTTTCAAGATTATATTTTTCCTGACGATAAGATAATTCTAGAGATAATCTAATGGATGAAACTTCATTTGGCCAGTCACTGAAAGTTTCAAAAAAGGGAAAACGTTAAACTCATTTTTTTTCCTTCAAAAGAATAATTTTGAGGCTAGCATGAAGCAACGGTACTCTTACTACATCTACATGTTAAAGAGAGTATGCAATAATAATATATGATCAGCAAAGGTAAATCTGTAACCACACCATTTCATCTTTTCTAGCCACATAGCAAATTTATTTAAGGCCCAAACAGACAAATAAATCTTAGACAAACGTTTATGACAATAATTTCATCAAATTAAGGGGTTGTTTCGTTGAAAGTAAAATGAGTGTAAAGTAAAGTGAATGCAGGGTTTTTAAAAAATTTAGTATTTCGTTGGATGAAAAAGAAATGCAAAGTAAAGCATAATAAATGTAGTGTAAAATAATTTAGCGTATTTTTTAGGTAAATGGTTCACCGTAAGCAAGCTCAGCCACCACCCTCCGGCCACCTCCACCTTTCGTTGGCCACCACTGCCACCACTGTCGCCACTGCCACCTGCCGGCTGCCATCATCTTTAAACTTTACATCGCATTCAATTTACTTCAATCAAACAAAATGAATTAACTTTACAATCATCCAAACAATTCCAAAGTATTCATGTTACACTGTATTCTTTTTTTTCATTTTTTAGCCAACCAAACAGCTGTTGACATATTTTTTGCATCAACACAAGTCGATTCAAGCCCGATTAGGCTCGATCACACTCGATCGACTAAATTGACCATCGTCGAGCATCAAATAACTTCAATCAAACCCTAATTCGTTGAAATTAAATTTAATCAAATTAAACTCAATTTAATTAAATTAAATTCAATTCGATCCAAATTGAACCCCGTCGAGCCCAATTTGATGCAATTTGGCGCCGATTCAAGTTTAATTTCGCAAAATTAGCTTGATCAGACCCAATCGAACCCAAACCGACCCAAATCGGTTTGAGTCGAGTCAAATTTGGGATCAATTTCAGCCCTAATTGATGAGATCATGCCTAATTTGACTTTCCAAATCAGATTTTTCAATCTAGGGCTGAGATTTTATCTAATTCCCACCCAATTTTATATAAAACTCTTCGTTTTGCGCAAAGGAGCGAGATAGGGGCATTTGGGCGGCGGCCTCTCTGGCTCGCGTGTGTCCCGAATAGGGCAAAAGAAGGAGAGCTGACCGTGTTCTTTGTTTCACCCGTCCCAGAAGAGCAGGAGGAGGCGGGGAGCTCTTCCTGCGATCTCATCCAGTTCGCCGGCTCCTCAAGCGACGGCCCTCCAGGTAGTCCATCTCCAAGCAATCAAGAGAGACAAAGAGGGAGGACGAGAGGAGGCCCTCCTGTGTGCGGCCCTACCTAGCTACCGACCTCATAAGAGGGCCGAACAAACCAGCTTGGGTTCCCTTGCTGTAGTTTCCTTCTCCCTTGGACCAAAAGAGGGAAATATATCTTTGTTTTCCTCCATTTCTCCAAATGGAAGAGCATAGACCTGCCCTTTTCCTTCTCTTGAGCAAAAGGAGAAGTGTAGGAATATAGTAGAGGCACTTGGAGACTGAACACCTGCTGTAGGTGGCTTCTCCCCCTTTCTCTTTCAACTCCGGCAAGTTAGTAGCGAGTTGGAGGCTGTTGGAAGTTTCCAAACAGCAAGAGAGACCTCCGAAACCTCCCAAACAGCGGTTTGAAGACTTGGGAACGCCTTGGACAGCAAAGGGAGCCTCCGGAGCATCTTGGACAGCAGCTCGGAGCTTGGACAACAGCTCAAAGCTTGGATCGGAACTTGGACAGCATCCAAAACTTGGACAGCAGCTTTCGCGCCTTTGGCTAGGCGAGTGGATAGTGGTTTGCGCCGTGACAACCCAGCAAGGTAAAATCCTAAAACTTAGAAAAAAAACCCTAAGGCCCCCCCTAGTCTTTGATGTGTGGTTGACGTCCCCAAGCCATGGTCCCTTAGAAACTTCATTTGTTTGCTTTCCTAAAACCTATGTGCGCTGTCCTCCCCGCAAAACAGCGGAAATCAGGTGATTTCCGTTTGTTTGCTCTCTTGTGAGAGCCAAAGAGGCATGTAATATGTGTAGGGTGGTCGGATTTGAATCCGATGAACCCTCAAATGCATATAATAGCATTCATATTGTGTCCAAATCATCACCCATAACAAACCTAGGCTTCATCATCATAACATCCAAATTTGGAGGCTATGCACTTGACCAAATCAATTGCATGGTGCTTAGGATTTAGATTATGTCAAAATTGATCTAAATAAAATGTCGTGGGTCTCTTTCTCTAAGGATTGCATGCTTTTAAAATTGTTGGGAGACCATTAAGCATGTTCATTTGATTTATGGGACTATCTTAGGGTAAGAATGGGTTTACAAAGACCCATAAGCCAAACCCTCATGCATTTTTGAATTACTTAAACATGCTTTGCATCTCTTAATTCTCATGGATAAGAATTGATAGTCTCTACAAGTCAGTGAATATCTAATGAATGTGCTTGGTTGGAAATAATATCGTTGACAATCGATCTTTGTTGAGTTTCCCATAGATCTTTGTTGTAAACCCCACAATGTTTATGACCAACCAAATACATGATTGATCTTTTCACTAAATTCAGAGCACATAAGTGATAATCAATGTGGGTTTACATCCACCACACTTGGGATTTGGAAATTAACTAAATGGGCTTATCTAACCTTGAAGTGGGCTTGAGATATGGCATGGGCCCTCAAAGGCTCATGAGCCCTCATGCTCAAGTTTACCTAACTCCATTTATGTGTTTTTTTCAAATACAATCATTGAATGCAATGATTAAAATCCTTAGAGATTGAAACCTCACATCAATGTTTTAATAAACCAAGTCCTATCAAAATTGATCTTTAGGATCTCCCTGGAAAACCTTCAATCACCATTCATGACAAATTTGATTAGATTGTTCTTAGAAGCTTTAGGTATGTTTTCATGCTTAACATGAGTCAAAATCATGCTTCCTAGACCTCTTGCTAGGATCACTAACTTCCAGATTATCTAGATCATGTCAAAATTGGTTTAGAGACCTCTCCTAAAACCTTAGGAAATTAATTCTTCCCTCTCCTAATTGAGTCCAAAACACTCTAAAAGACATAGGGAAATTCCTTTCAAATGCGCATCTCCTCTTTCCATGAGTCCAAAACATTTATGGGGAAATGGGGAATTCTCTTTCTCATGCACATCTCCTTTCAAACTTGATGCTTAGAAATTCCTCAAAGTTCTAAGCTCTATGTTGCATTAGTTCCAACAAGTATAAAGAGCTTTCTTTCAAATGATCCTTTCTCCCCTAGTGCATACTTGTTAACGACGAACGGCGCACCAAGTCGCAAAAGTCCCTTTGGAGCCATGACGCATAGTGCACAGTGCGACACGCGCCTTTTTGAACATGGCGCAAACTAAATAAGAATTATAAAATAATAAGCATGAATATGAAATATCATTAAAAATGAAATACAAGCTATCATAATAATGAAAGACAACCAAAACTTAATACAAGTTCGAGTCAGAAATATCCCAATATCTTATAATTCAAATATTACAATCATTTTTTTAAGGTCAAATAAGAATTTAATCTACTCTTCTTAAGAATCATCATCATCAACAAATGTTAAAAAAGCTTCATTATCTTCATCAGCAATGTCTCCTATTTCAAAAGCCTATTCATCACCCTCCTCATCCTCATTCTCAATAGCAACATCACGCCTAATTGAAAATTCCTTCTCCTTCCCATATTCCCCTCTTGTGAATTTTGAATTTCCCCTCCCCCTTAATTGCTTTCATAATCAAGCTCTAGCAAATTTGGAAAGTAAATTAAGAGGAGTTATATTTGATTTGAAATTCAAATTTCAAATCGCTCCTCTTTTCATACCAGTTTGGGAGTTACTTAATATAATTAATTCTGAAATTAAAATCAGAATTTTAATTATATTAATTTAATCATATGTGGTCCCCACCTACTCAAAACCTAAAGCCACATCACCCCCTTTACATGGCCGGCCCCCTCTCTCCCAATCTCCCCTATTAATTTTCTTAATTGCACCTTTAATTCCTTCCCTCCTAATCTTAATTTCAAATTCAAAATTCTGAAATTGAAATTAAGAACTCTCCAATTTCGGAAATCTGAATTAAATTTCAGATTTTAAGTTTTTTCCCCCATAGCTCCACCCGCCCGTATCCTCCTCTCCAACCCGTGACCCCCCCTCCCTCCACTTGCTCACGGCTTGCTCTCTCATCTCCCCTCTTTGTCTCCCCTACTCGGACCTCGAATTTGAATGGGGACTTGTGTTCGACGCCCACGATAATCTCGACATCCTACGATCGCCATTCTTCAACGCGGGATTTGACTTTGACAACGACATCGTTGGAGCTTACTTGGATCGGATCCTCCCCACCCTCGTGCACGTCATCGACAGACAAAGTCTAGACTACGAGTGGACCATCGACGGCCGACCTTCCACGCCACCTCCACATCCTACGCCTTCCTCTCCATCACTACAGATCGCCGGCATCGTCTACCTCGGAGTGGTCTCATTCCTTGTGTGGTTCTTCTTCCTCCGACAACCCTAGACATAGAAGAGTGAGCTTAAGCCTCCAGGTGAGACAATCGCTTTGTTAACCGTCGGATTCTAGTTGTCTTTTCATTGTCATTACTTTTAATTGACGTCGTTATTTTATCGATCTTGCTAATTTAGTTGTAACAACATGCCTAGACTTGGTTGAAATCTAAGATCTTTTTTTGAAGTATCAATTGTGAGAATCATCAAGATTGTACTATCATTACTTTAACGAGCTTCTATTAATTTTCTAAGATTCAATTCCTGGTTTCACATCATTATGTGGTCCAATAACCTCGATATACTTGCAAAATAATTCAAACATTTTCACAGCATTTTTGGAGAAAGAACTAGCATCAATTGACTCTATAAATGCGCTACCTCTTGGACAATTAACAAGAAAATTGATTAAGCTTTTCCCATTTCTCGACATCCATCCATCTGCCATTACAGAACAACATATCGTATACAATCTTCTTGATGACGTCATAATAGCTCATGTGTATGTCCAACCTCTTTCTTCAAACAAGTAACTCGTATCTCATAATAAATAGGAGGTTTTATACCATGTCCAAACTGTTCAAGTGCCTCCACCATAGCAAAGAAACTATCATATTTTACAGCATTAAATGGAATATCAGCATCGTACATCCATCTACTGAACACTTGAATAGCCCTCTCCTTCATTTCTTTTTTAGCTGCATCCATTTCTTTACTAAACTAACCCTTTCTATGCTTTACTACATCTTCAGGATTTAGTGTAAAAAAAGTATCCAACGGACCTTTAGGTCGTGATGTTTTGAAGATAGAAGTAGATATCGAACTTTGACTAGATGTGTTAGATTTAATTGTCTGCAATATTTTGGATGGTCCAGCACCTAAAATATCATCTGTCATCACATCAAAGTCTTCTCCTTCTTCTCCAACAAGGTTGACATTTGATGTGTC